TCTGTAAATGTGTCCGCCTCTGCTTGCCCCCACGTGACATAAAACCCGGGCACGCTGTCTAGTTGATGAAAGACACTGACCTTGTTTAACAGCAGACGATTCATATCTCGCGAGGACATTAGGGTTGCCAGATTTTGTAAAACAAAACGGAATAACGACTCGTTGTTTGTTTAAAACGACATTTTTAACTACTTATAGGCTTAAAGGTATACACCATCAGCAAACTAAACTTACTATATACGACACAATTTGGGCGAAGAAACTTAGGAATCCAGGCCAAACAGAGAATCTGGTAATCCTTTAAAGCCAACGTGGCAGTATTTGTGGCTCAAAGCAATCACGATAATGACCATCGACTTCATTTCACCGGGTTTTGATTCTTGTATTTCTCCCCATCTCATGGACTCCAAGAATATTTTTTAGGAGGTTTCCCGGGAAAGTCCAATATTTGGGGAGGTGGGGTGGAGTAAGGGTTAGAGTTAGTCGGTGTTCATTTAACACCCTGACACCCCTATCATATTGGTCTTTCCCGGAAAACCTTCCAAAATATCTCGGAGTCACCGAGAAAGGGTGAAATAAAATAAAAGAACCCGGGTTTTATTTGATATGCTCGGCCTCCTCATTCAGAATAGTTGGTCCATTGTCGAAAGGACTCGTAACACGAACTCCTCAACTCCAGCGACGAAACACGTGCACTTGTGAACTGAAGGATGAGCCCGGCTCGCTAGCGTAGTTGGCTAAACAGGACTGCGCGGTGATCGGGTGACGTACTCCTTGTGGTCCGGGTTCACGCCCGGGGGTAGGCAGAAAAGCCACATTTTCTCCCAGATTTACGCCGAAGAATTGCGATATCCAGAGGACCGAGCCTAAGGGTTAACAACTCATGGTTTCTGGATACTTAAAAAAAACTGAAGGATAAAGTCCAAAACCGAACCTGCAGCGAAGCAAACTGCATAATCACTTCGCTACGGACACTATGCTTTCTATGCGTGCAATAGTATTGTAAGGAAAACAACAAAGTTGTAGACGGGAAAGGAACGGATAAACAAAGAGACAGACATGCCGCTCGAGGTCCGTTTGTTAGACAGACAGAGGACGGGTGGATAGAAAGACAGACAGCGATCGATAGACAAATAGAAATATCGACAGACGGGTAGAAACACACACTCAGATGCATATACATACATATGTATGTGTGTGTGTGTGTGTTTCTGTTTCCTTCTCTATCACACTTTCTTTCTCTCGCATATATTTATATATGACCGCTCTTCGTATGTATCTTTGTGTGTGTGTGTGTGTGTGTGTGTGTGTGTGTGTGTGTGTGTGTGTGTTTCAACTTCTCATTTCTGCCGTTAAGCGTTGTGGGAAGAAACAGTTTGCGATCCATTGCTTGGTGGGCAGCAATGGCTATGTTTGTTCCATGACTATGTGGAAGCTATTTAATGTCATCAGTCCATACCTCCTAGGACGGCCTCTTGCTTTCACTTCAGATCTTTTCATGTGTAGTGCTTGCGTTGGTAGTTGTTCTGGCTGCATTCTTACTAGATGACCAAACCATTTGATCTTCTGTTTCTCAATGAATTTGCTGCATGGTGATGTTCCTACAGCCTGTCTGATAATATCATTTCTAACTTTGTCTCGGATGGCTAAGTTGGCAGCTTTTCTCAGGTATCTCATTTCGCAGGTGTTAATTTTACGTAGGTTAGCCTTTGATAGTGAATATGCTGTTTATAACGTTTCATGGCGCGAATACTTCTGTTTGTTTGTCTTAATAACCGTGTCAGTTTGTATATAAGTGCACTGGCTCGTTGGCATCTTGTTTCTATTTCCCGATCTATTCTCCCGTCTTCCGAGAATATATTTCCTAGATATTTAAATTATGTCTTGCTTCAGACAGGTTCCATTTGACCGGATATGTAGCGGACTAGGAATTCTGCTAACCTGCATTACTTCAGTTTTGGTAGCATTTATTTTCATGTGATATCTTCTGCGTGTTGATTTTAGTCTGTTCAAATGTTCTTTAAGTCTACACCCCTCATTCTAGAACAGGCACCGATCGTCTGCAAATAGCAGATCATTTGTGTGTGTATGTGTGTTTGAGTATGTGTGTGGGTGGGTGTGTGTGTGTGTGTGTGTGTGTGTGTGTGTATATATATATATATATATATATATATATATATATATATATATATATATATATATATATATATATATATATATATATATATAATTCTTCCTCTGGAAAGTAAAGTTCTTCATTTTTTGGATTGCCTGCTTTAAAGCTGGCTTAAGTTGATGTTCTGTGTATTTAGTAAATAAGAGAGGAGAAATCACACATCCCTGCCTCACCCCTGTAGTGATTGTAAAAATATCAGATTTGCCTTCTTGTGTTCTCACTGCGCTTTGGGAAGTGTGGTGCATGGCCATGATGTTATTTAGCAATTGTCGTTTAATACCATAATCCTATACAATAGCCGATAGTTTGTTTCTGTCTGCTCTATCAAAAGTTTTTTCTAGATCGACAAGCACAATATTCAGTTCATCGTCATATTCAATGGTTTTCTCGCAAACTTGTCTTAGTGTAAATAATGCATCTGTGCAACTTTTTAATTTCCTGAAACCAAATTGGGATGTACGTAGATGCTTTTCCGCTATAGGTCTAATTCTTTGTTCTAATAACTTTGCAAAGTTTTTTTTTTTTTTTCGTGTGGCTCAGGAGTGATATACCTTTGTACAGTCTATTGTGTTATCTTTCGTGTTTTTTTTTTTTTTCAAACTGGTACTATCAGTGCCTGTTGTCAGTCAAGTGGAACTTTCCTTTCTTCGCATGCTGTATTGCAAATTCTTGTCAGCCTTTTGATGCCAGTTTGACGACATGCTTGAATAGCTTCTGTAGTTATCCCATAAAAACTAAATGCTTAGGGGGGGGGGGGGCCTCTTCTGTATAACAACTTTTAATTCTGATGTTTACAAGTTTGATTCATTTTTTTCATTGTTTTTTGACACAAAACTGAAGTAGAAATAGAACTGTTGTTATCTTCTTCTAATGTGTCAACGTCGTCCAGATGTGGGATGCAATTTTTTTTTTTTTTATTTGAAGCGCCACCCTGGCTTCTGCCTGTGGCCCTGAATGTAGCCGGGCCATAAATATGGCCTAACGGCTGATAGGGGTTTCTGGGTCCTCTCCACGGGTGATCCTCATCCGCATGGTGGCACTTTGTGTCACCGGGTGTTTATCGCTTGTGTGATGTCCTGGTGGGGTACAACTACCTACCTACCTGTTATCTACTTCGTTTTCAGTGTTGTGTAGCTTTTTAAAATATTCTGCCTATTTTGCAAGCCTTCGATGTGGATTAAATACAGGACTACATCTCTTGTTTAAAATGCTGGCTGGTTTGTATTATGAATTAATCAAGTAACAGAAAGTGTATTGATCGGCACTCATAGAAAGGAGTAGAAAGATAGAAGAACACACAAGACAACATAAAAATCGAAAGCTATAGTTACCGTGCCGTGAATTAAACCTGTCACCTCCAGACGGCGTGTGCGCCTCGCCATGGATGATTTGTAACATTTATCTCTTGCTCTCGTATTTTGAACCTATATGCACAATTATGTAGGGAAACTTCCAGATGTACTTAATGTGGCCATCTGCTCTTCAAACTTTTTCCATCATTCATCTTTAGAGGCTTTGCCTTTCGTTTTGCATGTCTTCTTATCAATCTTTATGTAACATAATCCTGTTCACATTTGGATTTAATCCATTTTTTTATGCTTCCTTCTTTTTTATAAATCATATCTTTGACATCGTTATTCCACAATGCCGTTCTTAATCGTTTATTTTTTTTTTAGTTCCACATTTTGTTTTTAAGAGTACTAAACATGGCAGGTTTGAAGTTTGCCCCTACGTTCCATACATCTGAGTACTTGGCGGGAAAATTACTGAAGAGCTTTTTGATGTTTTTTTTTTTCAAATTAGCTTTTGACAGTGTTATTATGTAACTTCCTTATATTGATGGTGTATGTGTGTGTGTGGTCAAAAACTGCCTATATATATATATATATATATATATATATATATATATATATATATATATATACTAATACATACGATCGTTGCCAAGATCTGCGATACTGTACCAAGTAGATATACTGTATAAGTTTTGCTTCAACCGGGCAAGAAGAAGAAGAAGAAGAAAAAGAAGAAGAAGAAGAAGAAGAAGAAGAAGAAGAAGAAGAAGAAGAAGAAGAAGAAGAAGAAGAAGAAGAAGAAGAAGAAGAAGAAGAAGAAGAAGAAGAAGAAGAAGAAGAAGAAGAAGAAGAAGAAGAAGGAGCAGAAGAAGAAGAAGAAGAAAAAGAAGAAGAAGAAGAAGAAGAAGAAGAAGAAGAAGAAGAAGAAGAAGAAGAAGAAGAAGAAGAAGAAGAAGAAGAAGAAGAAGAAGAAGAAGAAGAAGAGACATAAGGAAGATCTGTCACTTTACAATAGACTCCACACCCCTTCCCTAAACTTTCTTTTCCATCCAGGAAAGACCTTCTCCGCTCCTCCACCCCCTTTCCACCTCAAACCCCACCCCCCACCCCCCTACTTGTTTTTTTTTAAATTCCTAACCAGTGACACACACGGTACAACATATGTCAACAATTGTTTCTTATGAACATCGAGGATAGTTGGCTCATAAACAGCGTCCTGTCCCGAAAGACAAGGTATTTTATTTTTTTTTTTTGCCATGTTAAACGCCACGGTGGTTTGGAAAAGGTGGTTTGGAAAAGACAGTAATTTCTGGAAAATGAGGCAGAGTCAGACGTCCGCGAATGTAGATACATGACAAAAAAGATACACTGGCTATAACAACACAATACAAAGAGTTTTAGAACTGGTTAGAGAAAGAAAGATTTTCATGCGTGCCATCGCAAGAGCAACGTTTTGTACAGGACCTGCTAATGGATGATGATGTTTCTTCCCTCTTCTACAGTTAACCTGAAGCGTGTGTACCTCAGTCATGGACCAAACCCAGCGTGCAAACATGTCTTGCTATCACTGCGACAAGCAGCTGGTGGCCTGTAGGTACATTCTCAACGATGACTATCCCTACTGCATCACCTGCTTCCAGGAGTTGTTTGCCCACACCTGTGAGCAGTGTGGTCAGCTGATTGGTCTTGACCACAAGGTAAGTCTTCTTCTTCTACTTCCTCTTCTTCTTCTACTTCCTCTTCTTCTTCTTCTGCTTCTTCTTCTTCTTCTGGTTTGCATGGTGTGTTGTAGTTTAGAGCTAGACTGTGATATGTGTGCTTTGCAGCCAACACATCCTGCAAACCCCGAGTTAGTTCCCTTTTATGACAATTTGCTAGGGGCCAGCTAGTCTACATTAAACCCACATATGCTCAGTGAGGATTCAAAACAATGTTTTCCAGCTGCGAATTTCAATAATGATGATGATGCAAACAATATACAGGTGTGGGGCAGGATTTTTTACCAGGCACACTAGGAATTCCCATGCGTGCTCAGTCCTCAGATACAGCAACAACTCCAAGGGACCTCTACTGATTGTTCTTATGTGGAGCTGGTTATAATGTCCCATGTCTTGGCCTCGAAGGTGGTATAGACATGCTTCACCTTGCTTTACTCCCGTGTCACCCAGTTGTGTTAGTGTCAGAGATTGCACATTATCCACTAACCTAGTCAGTACAGCGTTGATGATATAGCCCTGTCAGTGCTTATTCTCACATGTGTTGGTGCAGTGCTTGCCAGTTCTGCAGCCATTCAGTCAATCAGATGCCAATACAATAATAAAGCATATGTTGACTTCTGCAGCCATTCAGTCAACAGATTCCATCTCTGCAATAAAGATAGACCGCACTGATCTATAACCATCTATGTCTCTTTCCCTGATTGTACTCTTACTGTTCTTCTCTGCCCCATTCTTGTTTTATTAGAATCCATTATATCCCACTTGTTATTTGAATCCTCTGTGTCCAGTAGCTTTGTGATTTTATTTTATTTATTAATAATGCAAAATTATTTCTCTAAAACACTTAACTTGGAGGGCAAGGGCAAGAGAGCAATAGGTAGACAATGACACACGTGAGAGGACAACACCAAGAGATGAATGAACTGCAGTATGAAAGAATGTACAAACACGAAAAGAGATAAAGTGTGTTGGAGATCCATTGCAGCCAACTTTTGTTGTGAAGATGACACCTGATTGATTGACTGATACAACTTGGAGATAGATAGTTGTTGATGTAAAAACTATCTGGGATTGAAAGAGTTCATGTGGCTTAAGTATATATTTAACTTGTTTTTTTGTTGTGCCTTCCAGCAAGTCTTTTTTCATTCCATATCGCGTCAGGATTTATGAATTTGATAATTTGTTTTTCTTAAATTAAAATATGACCCATATTTTTGTACATCCACACCTTCGAACTTCAGTTCATCTATCTAACTGCTTACTCATTGTCTGGTTTCTGTAGCAAATAGTAGGACTGAGAATATTAACACATTTGACAATTTCTGTCCCTACAGGATCTGTCCTACAAAGACAAACATTGGCATGAGTTTTGCTTCAAATGCAGCAACTGTCAGAAGTCACTAGTGGAACAACCGTTTTCCACCAAGGAGGAACAGATCTACTGCTCTGACTGCTTTGATAATGCCTTTGCTGCCAGGTGTGATGAGTGTGGAGAACCTTTTCGTGGAGGTGAGAAGCAGTTTCTACTTTAGTGTTTTGATGACTGAAAAACAGTAAAGGAAGTTAGTTGTATATCCTTTACAGGACGTTACAGAACCAACCCCAGCATTTATTTTTGGGGTGTTGTGGTTTTTTTTAGACAGTTTTACATCCAGTAGTTTCTCATTGCTTTCTGCACATTTGATTTCTCGATACCACTGTTGAAATCAACGCAAGACCCGCAGCTGGGATCGAACCCAACACCCAGGTATTACAAAGCACATTCACAACACTCACAACGCCTAAGCCACAGACACTGACAGTAAAAGAGTACAAATGGTAAAAGAATGTTTTCGACCGCATGACAAAAGAAATTTACTTTTACATAAATAAATTAATTACACATCATTAACCCCAGAATTTACTGACTGCTATGAGTTTTTTCATGCATTATGTTTAGTAGTTTGCTGTAATAAATCGTGACTTCTCTTGAAATAAAGCGCTGCTTCACTTGGAATGATTCTGATTCAACTTGAAATGAATCGTGGCTTGACTTGACATATACCTTGGAAAGAACCTTGGTTTACACCGACTTTAACGTCTAGGGTTGACAACACAAACGCCGCTCAGCTTCTTGGTACAATCTGTCAGTTTATTCTCGTCCATTTATTTCACACGTTCAAACATTATTCACACTTTATCACTCGCGACATATTCGAACATTAAACATTTGCGCAACATAAAGACGACATCTTCAAATACTACAACCGTCTTCTCTGACTTCTCATGATCGACTGACCACGAGGCAAGCTCGGGCTTTCCCTCGCTTCCTCGACTAGGCACAAGTATCTCGTGCTGTCCCTTGTTGCACGGACTTTCTGCTTGCCACTATGTAATCGTGAAGACCATGCACAGCACCTCATCACATTTGCCATGACTTCTGAAATATATGATGCTCATAGAGTTGTCAAAATCAAAATAAAGTGGTCAGTTAGCAAAAGACAAGCAGCTGACTTCATACACTGGATTAATAACCACTAAACTATGGATGGTGACCTAGAGAGATAAGCATCATCATCATGTAGCAGAATGGTGCTCTCATCAAGGCCTGCCTGAAAGAAACTGAGTCTCTCGCCAGCTCTTCCACCTCAAGCACTTTCCTACCCAAGGTGTCATATCCTGTGACTGTTATTATTTCTAGTCCGCTGTGGCACTTGATGTGGCCAACATATTTCAGCTTCTGAGACAAGATGCTGTTTACTAGCCAATCTTCCTTGATGTTCTTGATCTTTTAGGATGTCAGTGTTTCTTTTATTCTTGGCCCTTGGTAGTCTGAAAATCTTTCTGCAGCATTTCAGCTCAGAAGCGTCTGTTTTCTTCCTCAACTCTTTCATTACCAGAAAACAGATACATTAGTTAAAAATCAACTTATAGATAGATACCCATAGAGTTAACGACTGTGAGATAGTCAACGACTCACATCAGTTTCATGCGACAGAGAAGATGCATTCTCTAACAATTTTGACTTTTCATTTTCCTGCTGGGCTGAACCACCAGAGGTAAGCAACACATTTAAAAATGATAATTCTTTGGAGTTCTAAGCCTTGGTATAACTCTTCTGACTGCCCATAAAAAAGTCTTAGGTTTGAATCTGTATCGAGGTGAAAATGTACAGTTGATCCAGGGCTTTTGGGTAGACCTAGTTTAGAAAGGCTACTTAGAGAAATCCTGTGATGTAAAAGTGATGCATGATGTTGACCACATCACTCCTTGAATGCTGATTAGTTTATAACAGTGTTTCTTAACCTTTTTACATCTGCGGCCCTCTCAAATGGTGAAAAAGTTCTGCAGCCCAGCTGATAGACAACCTAACACAGTGTGTGTGTTAAATCCGATGTCACAAACGAGAGATAAGTGGAGGGGTGTGATGACTGCAACAATGAATCTTAAGAGCTCAAAATGCTGAAGAAGAAGAAAAAAATGTCATAAAATTACCATTTTCAGCTTCTGTAATAGATGGTGCTGTTCAGAGGCTAGAAAATATGTTACTCAAGGGTAGAGCGTTAATTCTGATAGACTATGCACTGCAATAACATTCATTCCATGTCTCTGTTTATGGTTTTTTTACTGAAATAACTGAGAAAGTCTTTTCACACAAATCCTTCCCCCCCCCCCTCCTCCCCCCTCAAATAAAAAGGAAGAATAAAGTCCAAAAATCAGATAGCTCTTTGACACATATATGAATATACTTTTACATGTAATATATAAAACTCAGTCAATGGCTGTTTTTTATTTCTGGACACAAGAGTGACATCAGAAGACAACTCAACTCGGTCAGCTTTTCTTTGTCATGATAATTTAGTGCACATGTTTTTATATCCTTCAGCAAGGGATTATTATTAAAAGATTTGCCTTTATGAGGATCCTCATTATCAGGGAAATAATTATCAAAGTTTTCAGCTAACATCTTTAAATACTGACTTGTTAATTTGAATATCAATTGTACCTGTTTGATTTTCATCTTTTAAGCATTGATTTTATGTAATACAATCGTGGATGAGATAAAGCACCTAGTCCACCCCGTTCTATGATTAGACAGACATTTTTGGACAGCCCACCAGGACTTTTCCCCATAGCCCATAAGCTGAAGAACACTGATTTATAATAATATGGTCTACAGCCCCATATGCATGTTCACCGGTAGCGTGCAATAGGTCCTTTACTCTTTTGTTACTGTCTCCGCAGACAAGGGGATTAACCATAGTGCAATCGCAACGCCTAAATTGTTCAATAATGTACTAAAATGTCAGTGTGCTACAATAGCTCTCACAGGAAAAAAAAAGTTAAAGTGCACCCTACCATGCATGCTGTAAGAGGCGACTAAGTATAGGGTTTGGCTTAGGGTTGGCTACCTCATCCGCTGAAAATAATAGCCACAAAAACAGAAAGAAGAAACATGGGGTGAGCTGCATGCTATAGCAAAGGATATGATGATTTTGTATGAATTAGTTGAGGGTCTGTTTTGCATTGTAGGATATATGGCAGAAAGAGAAGAGGAAGAAGAAGAAGAAGAAGTAGAAGAAGAAGAAGAAGAAGAAGTAGAATGTGTTAACATGTTGACATTAATTCTCCTCAGGTATGAAAAAGTTTGAGTACAGAGGCAAACAGTGGCATGATCACTGCTTTGTTTGCCTTGAATGTCTTGAACCAATAGGCACAAAGAGCTTCATCCCAAGGGATGAAAAAGCCATCTGTGTGCCTTGTCATGAGAATAAATATGCTCAGAGATGCTCCAAATGTAACAGTGTAAGTACAATGTGTGTGTTTTTCTCAATCTGGTTTTTAGGAGTAGGCCAGGAGGGGGAGGGGTAGGGGGTGTATCTGAAATGTGGTTCTTGAGAAGAATGTTGTGAATACCTTGAGCTGCCAGAATAACTAACAATGATTGCCTGGAAATGGCTAAGGAAAGTAGAACATTATATACAACAATAAAAAGAAGAAAAACAAATTTCTTTGATCATGTGATGACAAAAGGAGCACTGTAAAATATTGTGATGACTGGAAAGATCACTTGTAGAATAGGCAGAAGCAGACCAGGAGAAATGATGGTGGATGGCTTAAGACAGTGACATGGAGGAATATCATCAGTGGCACTGATCTAGAACACCAAAGACCGAGATCTGTGGAGACACATGCACGCCTATGCCAGCTGATAAGGCACTTGATGATGATGGTAATGATGATGATGATGATGATGATGATGAATAATATGATGATGATAATGATGATGATGATGATGATGCAGAAGTGTGTTAGTGCACCACGACCAGGGTCCATACAAGACCAATCTGCACCTCTACGGTTTACTCTAGAAAAAAGAACAAGTCCAGATAACAGACACTTCAACCTAGACTTTCTGCCAAAACTCAAAACTACCAAACAACTTTGTGGTATGCAAGGTTGAAAATCATCATACTTCTCCTCTTACACTAGTTACTTCAAAAACATTTTGAGAGGAAATATAAGGATCATCTGTGTGTGCTTTTTAAAGTGCTGTGCATGCTAGTTTTCATTTATCTAAGGTTGTTCTTGCTGTCACATTCAAACTTCAGTGTGGTCTTCCACCTGCTTATACTCCGATATTTCTTCAGTATGGTTCTGTGGTGATTGGTGCCAGGGCTTTTCTTTTTTCTTGGCCAAACCATTTCATTTGTTGAATTTTATTGAACTGGTTTGTATCACTGGTTTAGTCCTAGTCTTCTAATTTCTTCATTTTTATTTTCATCTCCCCGTCAGCTCTCTTCAGACATCTCACCTCTGTTATGATTTTCCAATCATCAGCTGTAGTAAGGAGTCCATGTTTGACACTGGTAGTGAAATGTTGTCCAAAAATATGCCTCTGCATTAAACATCACAAGTAAACTAACTTCTTTCTGGTACATATATAGAATTCGCAACAGTGCTACAGAATTTGGTGCACTGTGCAAAGATTCTCCTTGTATGACCCAAAGGAGGAGACTGAAGCAGTGGAGACACATGTGTTTGTTTTTAGTGATTCTTCACAAAACACACTAAACAGAAAAACATATTCTGTGAGGTTGGAGGATGAATAAAATGATAAATTTGTGTATGATATTACCATTTGTCTTGAAAATTTCAACCTAATTTAATATGAACTTTCTGTCCAAAGCTGCACATCATGTGTGATCAAATATATTGTCCTTATATATTAATAAATGCAAGGAAAAGAATGGATGAATACAACATTTGACATGCTTGACTTTTATGATTGCGATCACACTGGGAAAGTACTACAGAAACTAGATTCCTGCTGCTGAAGACACAGTGACACTTATATCATCATTCCCATCTAGAGGACATCATCTGCTATACTGATGGGTTCCTAAAGTGCATGTCAAGGTCAGTATGTACATACACAGCACAAAGGATGGAGAAAACAAAAACAGAGGACAGTGACGCTTACTAGACAACTACATGCAGAAAGACCATGGACAAAACCATGGCTTCGAGTACTAGCAAGGGCAGAACAGGAAGTTATTCATATACCATTTCAGACACCATAAACATGCTTCAGAAAAACGGCAACAGTCAGTCAATGCTCTGAATGGTTACAAAGCATTTTGAAGCTTCACTAAACCTCCACTATCTGGATTTACACATGAGAGCCAGAATCATAGGAAATGGACGAGAGGACCAGCTGAAAATTAAGGCACCAATGCATACAGGAAGAAGCATGGACAGGGCTGATCTGATCAATGCTGTCAGGACTAGGTTCATGGATAATGATGAACCTCTGATACTAACATGGTTGTGGGAACTGGGAGTAAAGGTTGGTGAAGCATGTCTGTGCTATCTTTGAGGTCCAGATAAGAAACATCATAACCAATTATTTCTCATAAGAACAATCAATAAAAGTGCTTTGACTGCTGCATTAGTGGACCAAGTATGCATGGGAATGCCCAATGTGCAGTGATGTTGACTGTGATAACATGAACATAAATTCATGGTATGGTATTGTATAGTTAACATTTGGACTGAACTTTTAAAATATCTGGCATCTATTTGAACACATAGCACAGTGTGCTTTTGACTCTCTGGAGGTTGCATACCCATGTTTTTTTTATTGTGGTTATAAATATTGTAGGCATCTGTAACCAAAACTTTTGGTACTAAAATAATTAACCATTTTGATCTCCATATTCCAGGTAATTTCCAAAGGTGGAATAAGCTACAAGAATATGCCCTGGCACCGCGAGTGTTTCACCTGTACTAGTTGCAGCAAGGAACTGGCAGGAGAAAAGTTCACATCCAAGGACGAGCTGCCATATTGTGGAGAATGCTATGGAGACTTGTTTGCCAAACGATGTGTTCACTGCACAAAGCCTATCACAGGTGATGTTCATAAATCTTTCTATACCAGACAACTCAGTATAAATGTATTCTCCTTCTTTGTATTCACCAGCTGTAAACACTGGTGGAGAAAGTTCTGGTTGTTTGTCCACTTATGAGCTTTAATCTTGTTCCAGAACCTGAGTGTTGTGTGCACATTAGTTTTACACATCTGACTTAGTTGTGTGCAAATTGTTGGTTCCTTGTCTCTCAGGCAGATGCACTCTAACTTCGAAGGAAGTCGCCAGTTAGTTTGAACACATAGCATAGTTTGTGTTGTGAGCTGCCCGTAACATATTAATGCTGGTGCCGGTCATCGTGTCTCGATACAGACCTCTGTCATGTGTACTGCCATAACAATCAACAGTTTTTATAAAATCGATCCTTTACACTTTGGTGTTAGATTGTCAAACTCCTTTCTTGGTTTGCCTCTGCTTCTTTTCCCCTCCATCTTCCCTGATGTCCCAACATTCATGCATCTTTAATCTGCTGTTATTAGGGTACCTGCTTTAATGTCAGCATGTCCAGCCCGCTATCTAAGAAGGTTAAACAGCTGCATGGTAACCAGGTGAAAAACTCCTTGTGGTCCGAGTTCACGCTCGGAGGTAGGCAGAAAAGCCACATATTTTCCAGATTTATGGTGTCTATCATGGAATCAAGGCAATATCCATTATACCGAGCCAAAGGGTTTACAACTCATGCTTTCTGGATGCTTAAAAAAAATTGTCAGCATCTGTGACTTAGGCATTGCTTTTTCCAAAATATCAAGTTCAATTCCAGCTGCAGGCAGTTTGGCAGTGAACCGCTTTGCAGTGATTTCAGCAACGGTTAAGAGCTCTGACCATTCAGGAAGCATTAGCAAATTACTAAACATAAAAGTGCTTAATAAAAAATTTTTTAAACAAAAAGATGGGGTTGGGTTTGCAACATCCAGTAAAGAATATGTGACTCACTCATAAATAACTAATTAAACATGTCAACTCTGGATATATCTTTAATGCTTACATTTTTTACTTTTCTAATTGTAGGCATTGGTGGCACCAAGTTTATTTCATTTGAAGACAGAAACTGGCACAGCGACTGCTTTAACTGCAGCAGATGTAAGGCAAGCATGGTTGACCGAGGTTTCCTCATGGATGGAGATAATGTCATGTGTCCGGAATGTAGCCAAAGCTAAAAGTTAATATATTTGTAGCTATCAAATCTGCCGGAAGCAAGACAAAGCCACTGATGATGTTTAAATTAGTGTTTGAAGCTTTAGACCTTTTGCTGTGGAAAAAAAAAATAATTGTGCTTTATATAGAGCCAGGTTTAACAGCTAACCTGCTAGAGTGCATTTTCACACATTCTAAGTGTTTCTAATTTGGATATTGTAGAATATGGTTGCTTCAGGCTTGTCATTTTTGCATTTCTGAGTCTTTGACAGTGTGTTTATTATGTATGATAATACTGAGAATGTACAGAATTATAATTTAACTCTAAAAAATGTTTTTAGTATTTTTTCTTTGTTAAGTAAGCTAGTTTTTGTTTTCTCTACATAAGAAATACTTGCATTTTTTTTTTACAGAAAGAGATATGATTAACTGGTTGGTTGATTGGCTGGTGGGCAGATTGGCTTGTTGATTAGTTGACTGGCTGACACTGACTGATTGTTGGTTGACTGGCTGGTTTACCAAGTGGTTTCTTGACTGGCTGGTTAGTTGGTTGACTGGCTTATCGGCTGGCTCTTGGTTGACTGGCTGGAAGTTGACACTGCTTGATTGACTAATTGGTCGACGGAATGGTTAGTTGACTGACTGGTTGGTTGACTACTGGTTGGTTGACTGGTGGGACGGTTGACTGGCTGTTGTTGACATTGATTGATTGACTGGTTAGTCGACTGAATGGTTAATAGACTGGCTGGTTGGTCGACTGGCTGGTTTATTGAATGGATGACTGACTGTCCATTGTTCTCATCTTCTGTCTATACAACCACATCTTAGCAGCTTCCACATAACTTCCTGACTATCCATAATGAACTTCAAACATGTAATTTTCTTTGACCATTTTTTAATCATTTCTTCAGTCTAAACAAAATTTAAGAATATAATTAAAACTTGATGATGTATTAATAAATTGTTGAGCTAATGACCAGGTTCAAATCCTAGGTAAGGCTTTGGGGGTGTTTTTTTTGTCAGGGAAAAAATGAAATCCTAACCTGCACAGTCCATGGTGACTGCATTAGCTAAGCAGCCCTATCCTCTTGCTCAAATACCCACGTCCCTCCCCCATACTTACATTGCAAAATTGATAAATACAGGCAGTAATAATAGCTTTAGTGTCATATTCTCACATTCATAAACATAAATATATATAAAATGTGATTTGTTGCTGTAAATATGCTGTTTTGTTTGCAGTTGTATATGAAAGTATAGTACAATCTGGCATTTGGCCTTTTGACAATCTGTAAATATTTAACCTGTCTGCTCCTGCTATTCTTTAATAGTATAAACAGTACAATCTATGCATGTGTTATATGAACTACAATAAAATAGAATGGGTTTGTCATTTCAATATGGAATGGAAATGTGGCAAGAAAAGAAACCTATCCTGGCAACACATTATATAAGTGATAGGTATAAGAAAAAAACTGACTGTCCCTCGTCATTTAGTAGGGATATGTGGCAGGTAAATACCTTGATTATCCACTCAGTATAGAGGGATAGGTGGCAAAGAAAGCAATGGTCTATCCCACTCAATAAATATAACAGAGATGGATGGCAAAGAAAGAAATTGACTATCCAACGCAGTATATCTAGCAGGGATAGGTGACAAGAGAGCTGGGAACAACAACTTATTAAAGCAGGGAAAGGAAACTGGGCACCCCATCTCACGATTGGAATGAAAGATAACAAGAACTAAATGGACCACCCTCAACTCATTTAATAATAATAAGATGGCAAGGAAGCCATTATTCCCACCCTAACTCGCCTACAGATTACTTCATAACCTCCAGGTGCCCTAATAGAACCATTGAATGGGAACTCTGGGAGTTTCTGTTGTTGGATCCTCACCCAAACTATGTGTCTGAGTGCTGTGTCACCTTCTTCTTTATGTTCACCAGCTGTAAACTCCAGCCGAAAGTTCTGTTTTTTTTTTTTTTTTGTTGCTCACTTGTGGACTTAAGTCTTGTTACAGAACCTGAGTGTTGCATGCATATCCGTTTTACAGATCTAAATTTTTTTGTACTCAGACTATTGGTTCCTTGCCTCTCAGGCAGATGCACTCTGACTTCAAAGAAAGCCCCTAATTAGTCGACTCCTAGGTCATGCTTGTTGGGGAGGCAGTGGGTCTATTCTTGTTTTCCCCACAATGGGGACCAGATCCCACAGGGGGAATTGGGCTTTCATTATACAATCCTAGAGGGTAAAACTACCCAAAAAAATGTTTATAAGTAAGCCGTTCCACCTCATTATAGAAGGAATATTGGCCGGAAGGGAACCGGACATCCTATCTCATTGTGCCATACTGTAGGTATGTGAAAGTAACATAACATTTTTTTATGACAGTATAAGTCACGGAACTGCTTTTATCTTTTCTTTTTAACATGTACAAATACATTTTATGTTACCACTGCTGTAAATGTGTACTGAAATATTTAATATATATTAACATGTAATTTAATGCAATAATGGCCTTTTGTGATGTAATGTTACTTTACTAATAAATGACACTTGCAGTCATATTTGTGTACTGAGTGATTCCAAGCGAGAAGTAGAAATAGTCAGCTTCACATTATCACAGTCAATTATCATGAGAAGTGGATGTTGGGGCTAAAAGGCCTTCATCAGCATATGGCAGGAATAGACACAGTTACAATTACAAACAGAATTAACCAACATGCTGGATTTACTCACATGCACCAGTTAACATATTATTATGCTTGTATATTTAGTTGGGGCATGCTAAAACACTCATCCGCACATTTGTCTCCCACAAGGGTTGGGTACTGCGGCCCTGTGGATGTAGTATACCCATTATTTTGCTGATTTCACAACTGACTCACTGGGACATCAGATATGACTAGCTGGCATGGAAAGAGTTGAACTACAACTCATGGCTGATGCATATCTCTGTCTAGAACATTCTTGTATACTGTATATGAATGAGTGAATACAACTGAAAAGTGCACAGAAAAAGTAAAACAATAATGTATTGTCTAAATGTGGTACTGTAAAGGACACAAGACGGCTCACTCTGTTATCTACATAGTAAGTAAAGTGGGTCATTAGATATATGGTGATAGACCCATTTTTATAGACCAGTCAGTGCTTAGTGGGTGTCGTGATGAACATCATGCTGGCCAGCTTCACTTGCCAGGACACATTTTCTGTAAAAGATTTAAGCTAGGTTGACCTGAGAGCTAAGGTCATTTTGTTTTCCCTCCAATTCAATTCTGTTTAAGAAAAAATCAAAAAATCAACCATGTTCAACCTGCTGCTAGCTAGCCAAAGCAGCCAACAGTCTCTGGCTATATTTGTGGTCTTTTTTATTTGCACCACTTTTATGGCTAAAGTTCTGGTATTTGCGCCGTCTCTGGGCTTAATGCTTCTTTCTATCAAGTCAGACCACTCATTTCCTATCATGTTGTCAACTGTGTTCTTCTTGCCTTTCATTTCTGATGTTTTCTCCTTGGTTTCAGCTGCTTCTGATGTGGCCAGGCGTATTTCATAGGAGAGCGAGCTTCTCAACATAACGTCCTTTGGACAATCATGTACAGTTTTAAAATTTTGAGAATTTTTCTTTGCCAAAGGGACCGAAAACAGTTTTTGGGTTTGGACAAATTCAAAATGTTAAAATATTCTCTGTGTGTGACCATCGTGGTCTTATAGTTGTCTTCCTACAGTCCTGTATGTTGCTGATTGAAATCCAAGAGCTTCGGGCCTGAAGGTGAGCTTCCAGCCACAGCACTGTCATGGTTCCCTATCTACACAATGGTCTGGGCTTATTTCCCAATAGGATTGTTTTCCCCCAGAGCAGTTTTGGCCCAAAAAAATCTAATCTTGAAAAATCTTCGCCAGAGATTTTTACCTGAGAGGTAATGTAGAGAAAGGAGATTGTCACTACTTCCTGATAATGCCATGACTTGAGCAGGACTTCACAATTTCTTTGGTGAGCCCAGTACCAGAGCACCATATATTGGCTCTGCATTTATGGAATCTTCCTTGGATAGGAGGGAATGTTCATGTTCTGCCTCTGCCTTCTCTTCTTCTTCTCTTACATGGCTACTCTGAACTGGCCTGATTTGGGAAAAAATGGGGGGCGGGGGGGGGGGGGGAGGAACACCACCTGTGAACTAGGAAACAAAGATGACCACATAATAATAAGACTACAATGTCCTCAACACTAAGTGGGAAGGCTAACCTGGGCAACAAATGCTTACAGAAGTCAGATGTGTCAACCAAAAGGTGCAAATATCACAAGCATGTCGTAAAAGGGCACAAATAATTTAGATCTTCAGATAAACGCAGAAGATATTGCCATGACCTGTTGCTTAAATCCCTATGCATGTGTTAAATTACTTTAACCTTTTGAATATGAACGCAGTCAGCTGGGCTGGTTTGGAGTTTTATCTTCTATAAAATACATGCTTACTTACTAAACTTGTTGTGTGCTCTCTCTTCTTCTGTGTGAATGTCAGTTAGTAGTGTGTTTGTATGCAGTTAGTAGTATATTTCTTTGCAGTTACCTTTTGCTGATGCAAATTCCCCACTTCTGGAGTGAGCGTCTAAACATGTTATTGTTCGACCACTCAGCTTTGTGCTTCATGCGATACTGTAAGCTGACGATTTCATTTATGTTAAATGTTTTTTCTGTTGTGCTCTTGACATGTTGACTGCACTAAAATGGCAGGTGACAGAATAAGTTTAGCATTGTGTATACTTTTGTGGGTGCAATGCCAGCAACAATGCACTGCCATTCTGGTGTGAGGCTGTTAGTGTTGACACATCTGACACCTGCCTTATGTACTTTTACTTTTCATGTGCAAGCTTCTAGATTTTGCTGGGACTAACAAGTTTTTGTTAATGTGATGAGAAGGAGAGAATTGAATAAAATGTGACAGTAGGAAAGCTGGAGGGGAAGAAAGGCAGAGGAAGACAGAGAGAAAAGATGCTGGACAGGTTGACATCTTGGCATGGAGGAGCAGGTGTATCAGAGCTGATAGAAAGTACACAGGACAGAAGGTTGTGGATAACGCATGACTATCAACGCCAGGGATATTGAGAAGAAGAACAAGTTTTCTGCTAGTTTATCTTTTTCTTCGTCTTCACCGGCTGTAAAGTTCTGGTTGTTTGTCCACTTCTTGACTGCAGTCCTGTTCCAGAACCTGAGTATTACATGTGCATCAGTTTGACAGATCTGACTAATTTGCATGCAGACTGTTGGTTCCTCGCCTATCAGGCAGTTCCACTCTGACTTTGAAGGAAGCTACCAATTAGTCGACTCTTACTACATGCTTTTGGGTAGACAGTGGGTCTGTTCTTGTTTTCCCTATAAAAGGGCCCCGGAACGGGGTGCACTAGTTTTTAAATGAGATAGTGAAGGACATTTTGTGTGATTTCCACTAGCACAGGAACGAAGCTGTTAGGGTCGCAGCCTATATGCAGTGATATAGCAACTTTGACTTACGAGATTCAGAAACTGAAGTGTGGAAAAATTCAGTCTCTCTAGAATTTGGGCAAGAAATGTCCAGCCCACGTGACATGCAAGGTCCTCAAAATAATGTTCACTTTATCAAAGCCACTGCAGTTGAATGCTTGACAAAATATAGTTCCCTGTGTGGGTTTCAGGGCCCTATTTTGATGGGAAAACAATACAACCACTGCCCCTTAATAAGCATATTTTAAAAAAGCAATCATTAAGAGTTTGCTGAAACCAGATGTGTTCAACCAAAAAGCACAGATAGACCTTCTGATTTGATTTTGATTTGATTAAAGAACCGACATCACAGCACTCAAGACGTTCCCATAAGCACTCAATCTCCATCATTAGCAGCCAATGTAAAGTTCCAAAACCATTGTTGCCAGTAGCAGTCTGATTATATGTCCATTTTGCCTTTCCTCTGAGAATCGAGTATTGGCCACAGCCCCTCGTCACTTCTCACTGCATCAAACTCACCAGACTGTGATGATCAATTTGCTGTTCCACATTGTACATGTGCTCCCAAAAGGCCTTAAGCTCACCTGCCTTATCATAAATCAATATTCCACCAAGTTTTCAGAACCAGCCAATCTGTCCACCTGTTCATTTCCAACACACTGCCATACCCCAGAGAAAACATCCAGACAATGATGACCTCCAAAGCGAAGCATGCCACTTTGCATGAAGCATGCCTGTCCTCACCTTCCTGAGCATGCTTTTGGAGTCAGTTACATACACAATGTGTGTGTGTGTGTATGTATCATGTTCTCTAGCCAGACGAAAGCTGCAGTGACCACCTCCACCTCTATTCTTAAACTGGATGTTGTGGTATCATATGCTAGGCTCTCCTGCACCAAACATCGACCATTAGCTTTTGTCCCCAAGCACTTCTTTTGCCTGCTGACACTGAACCATCTGTATAAATAATCACATCACCTAAGCGAGCATTATCCTGAATAAATTGCTGAATTTCTACCTCCATGGCACCTGCTGGTCACTCCCAGCTCAATGTATTCATGACTGTACACAGGTCTGACTGTTCCGCTGGCACTCTGACCCGCTCCTCTTCTCGCCTAATGTTCTCCAGGATGCAAACTTGTCCTTCAACGGAGTCATCCATGACTTCCCTCTTATCAGCGGCAGACCCTTAACTGCATCCAGCGCTTTATGCAAAGGGTGATCGGTGTCTGCTACTCTTCGACTGCAGCATTCTGAGCCTACCTTCAACAGTCGGCAAATCAAGGATGTATCGCATACATACTGGGGTATCTCTGGTACACCCCAACAACAACAAAACCACAAGCTGCGTTCAGTATTCATTCTAGCTTAACCAGTTGACGCTTTGAGACAACGATCATTCCTAGTCCATAATCAATCACTGAGAGGACCAAGTGCTGATATAGTGTGAAAAGCATTCTATGCTCTATGTCCATTGCATGCATAGTCTTAAGTGCAATATGTTCCTTTTGACAACTAGTCACAGCCGTCTCCACATGGTCCTTGATGGACAGGCTCCTGTCAAATGTGATTCTCAGATACTTCTGTTTTCTTTTTCTGTTGACATTTCTACCGTCTCTCCCCTGACTATAAGTGAGAATATCATCTGCAAATGTCAGTATCCTTCCAACCCCTGGGACTTCTAAGCTTACAATCCTGCTCGTATATACGTTAAAGAGCACAGGCGAGATGGCTGATCCCTATGGTAGTCCTGGGGCTATAATCCATGGCTCTGTGGTCCATGAACCAAAATGGAGAACCCAAAAAAATTCAAGACAGGTGCTATCCAATTCACCAACCACGGATTGCCCCCTTCTCCATTAGTGTGGAAATCAAAATATAATATTTAACTATTATACGAATCAAACACTGCTGCTATCATTTTCTGTTTATTCTAGAACCCTTTATAAATATTAAAAGCGGCTGCCTAGCTGTAAACCACAACATCATGTACCAACCAGACAGAAGACCAAAATAGCAGGCACATTTTAAATTTGATAATTTGGAATAGCCGCTAAATGATGTTATAAATATCCAAATGACTTTTGGAAGAAATAAAGAAAATAAACAGCTCCCCACTTCTGCTCTAGAGCCACTGAAATTTTATTATTTTATAAAATATGAAAATGACTGTGGATAGTAGAAACATTTGAAGGAGTCAAGAAATCTGACCATGTGTAGGTCACAAAATTATAAACTGATAGTGTGTTCATCTTCTGCCAGTGAAGCATAGGTTCTCAGCAAACTCTCTAACTTTCCTGTCCTTTGCCACCTTGTACTGCTCACTTTACAACTATTTTAAACTTTTTTCTGTTATATATATATATATATATGTTGGTCTCCCTTTATATGTTTGGCCCGATTGGTTTGTTTAATAACATTCTAGTTATATATAAGATTGTCTCAATGTGTCATATCCAGCATCTTTTTGTACCTCTTGATTCATGTCACATTTGTTTCTTTCCCAAAGTTCCACATGTATGATTCTATCACACCATTTAATTTCTTCATCTTCTCAGACAGCAGTTAATGACTTTTTATAGTTTTATTTGTAAATGATTTAGTTGTTCTCCATGTTCTGCTCCATACATTTTATGTTAAATATTTTTTAGTTTAATACTGGCTTTTAAGTTGAAAGAATTTAAATCTAGAAGTTTACTGTTTAATAAATAAATTCATAATGCCAAAACTAACTGTATATTCTCAACATTTTTAATGATGAATGTGAACAGTGCCAAACAAAACAAAAAACTACATTAAAATCAATGAAATGACATACAACAAAGATACATTTTCTAAAATCTTTGCTATGTTCTTCAACTCAGTTGCCAATTTATGTGTTTTCTTTCTTAAATCATGTTTTTGTTTGTTTTTCCTCATCTTGTGCATTACCCAGTTCCATGTTTTGTTCTGTCTACCAACTTATGGAAGTAGCCAATTCTTTGTTTTGTTCACCAACTCATTTGTTTTCAAAGTTTTTTTCCCCCTTAGTTCATAAATTTCTCATTTACTTTCTGGTTGTCTCAGGAGTCCTCAAGTATAATCAGGAGTTCCAAAGTTTTATCTACCCACATACTTACAACTATCCCCACATATACAACAACTAGCAATATTTTGGGTATACTCTATCCATATACATACAACTGCCAACATTTCAAGATATACACACAACAGAAGGATTAGTATTTTGAGATTATGTAAAACTAGATGGACTGCTTCAGGAAATGTTTTCAAAATGTGGGTGAACTATTTTTCTCACAGTTCATACACAGGAATATTCTCCGTAGGTAATGTAGTGGGCAGACACTATCAAAAGAGGCCAACATATCAGTCAGACACTCAGTCTGTCACACATCTTATAACCTACTCTTGTACATACAACATTTGCTTCACTGCTAACAGTTCAAGAAAACTCTCAATAGAACAGCACGTGTGAATATCACATCTAATCTATTCTTGTATGAGCAACAGCCAGTTACAGCAATCACTGCAAACAAACACCTTCAGCATGTCAGAAATACATCATATCATCTACTATCATACATACAACACTCACTGTTACACCAATCAGTTTAAGCAGACATCTATAATCTATCACATATACATCATATCATCTACAATCATATCTACAACACTCACTGTCACAGCAAATCAGTTCAAGCACACACAGACAGTCTATCACATGTAAATCAGATTATCTACTTTCATACGTACAACGCTCACTGTCACAGCAATTAATTTAAGCAGACATCTGTAATCTATCACATATACATCATATCATGAAGAGAATGCAGTTTCACAGCCTCCCGCAGCATCTGTTCTGCATTCTTGTTCACCTGAAATAAGAAGGCAAGCGTGTTGAAACAGTACAGCTACTTACATTTACCACTTTTAGAGCATTATTTGCGCCTTTCGGCAGACTCATCTAACTTTAACCAACATTTGTTGACCAGGTTAAGTTTCCACTGTTTCGTAGGACACAAGGCAGCCATATTTGTGTGGTGTTCACTTTGTCCTCTTTATCTACAGGTATTGCCAGTCCAAAAGGAGTGATATGACGACCACTATCTGCGGATATAGAGTGATATGACTACCACTATCTGCAGAGATAGAGTGATATGACCACCACTATCTGTGGAGATAGAGTGATATGACTACCACTATCTGCTGAGATAGAGTGATATGACCACCACTATCTGTGGAGATAGAGTGATATGACCACCACTATCTGCTGAGATAGAGTGATATGACCACCACTATCTGTGGAGATAGAGTGATATGACTACCACTATCTGCTGAGATAGAGTGATATGACCACCTCTATCTGCTGAGATAGAGTGATATGCCCACCGCTATCTGTGGAGATAGAGTGATATGACTACCACTATCTGTGGAGATAGAGTGATATGACTACCACTATCTGTGGAGATAGAGTGATATGACCACCACTATCTGCTGAGATAGAGTGATATGACTACCAATATCTGCTAAGATAGAGTGATATGACCACCACTATCTGCTAAAAAAAAGTGATATGACCACCACTATCTGCTGAGATAGAGTGATATGACCACCACTATCTGCTGAGATAGAGTGATATGCCCACCACTATCTGCTAAAATAAAGTGATATGCCCACCATTATCTGCTCAAATAGAGTGATATGACCACCACTATCTGCTAAAAAAAAGTGATATGACCACCACTATCTGCTGAGATAGCGTGATATGCCCACCATTATCTGCTCAAATAGAGTGATATGACCACCACTATCTGCTGAGATGGAGTGATATGACCACCACTATCTGCTGAGATAGAGTGATATGACCACCACTATCTGCTGAGATAGAGTGATATGCCCACCACTATCTGCTGAGATCGAGTGATATGCCCACCACTATCTGCTAAAATAAAGTGATATGCCCACCATTATCTGCTCAAATAGAGTGATATGACCACCACTATCTGCTAAAATAGAGGGATATGACCACCAGTATCTGCGGAGATAGAATGATATGACCACCACTATCTGCTGAGATAGAGTGATATGACCACCACTATCTGCTGAGATAGAGTGATATGACCACCACTATCTGTGGAGATAGAGTGATATGACCACCACTATCTGTGGAGATAGAGTGATATGACCACCACTATCTGCTGAGATAGAGTGATATGACCACCACTTTCTGCTGAGATAGAGTGATATGCCCACCACTATCTGCTAAAATAAAGTGATATGCCCACCATTATCTGCTCAAATAGAGTGATATGACCACAACTATCTGCTAAAATAGAGTTATATGACCACCAGTATCTGCGGAGATAGAGTGATATGACCACCACTATCTGCTGAGATAGAGTGATATGACCACCACTATCTGTGGAGATAGAGTGATTTGACCACCACTATCTGTGGAGATAGAGTGATATGACCACCACTATCTGCTGAGATAGAGTGATATGACCACCACTATCTGTGGAGATAGAGTGATATGACCACCACTATCTGCTGAGATAGAGTGATATGCCCACCACTATATGCTAAAATAAAGTGATATGCCCACCACTATCTGCTAAAATAAAGTGATATGCCCACCATTATCTGCTCAAATAGAGTGATATGACCACCACTATCTGCTAAAATAGAGTTATATGACCACCAGTATCTGCGGAGATAGAGTGATATGACTACCACTATCTGCTGAGATAGAGTGATATGACCACCACTATCTGCTGAGATAGAGTGATATGACCACCACTATCTGCTGAGATAGAGTGATATGACCACCACTATCTGTGGAGATAGAGTGATATGACCACCACTATCTGTGGAGATAGAGTGATATGACCACCACTATCTGCTGTGATAGAGTGATATGATCACCACTATCTGCTGAGATAGAGTGATATGACCACCACTATCTGCTGAGATAGAGTGATATGACCACCACTATCTGTGGAGATAAAGTGATATGACCACCACTATCTGTGGAGATAGAGTGATATGATCACCAGTTTCTGTGGAGATAGAGTGATATGATCACCACTATCTGCTGAGATAGAGTGATATGACCACCACTATCTGTGGAGATAGAGTAATATGACTACCACTATCTGTGGAGATAAAGTGATATGATCACCAGTATCTGTGGAGATAGAGTGATATGACCACCACTATCTGTGGAGATAGAGTAATATGACTACCACTATCTGTGGAGATAAAGTGATATGACCACCACTATCTGCTGAGATAGAGTGATATGCCCACCACTATCTGCTAAAATAAAGTGATATGCCCACCATTATCTGCTCAAATAGAGTGATATGACCACAACTATCTGCTAAAATAGAGTTATATGACCACCAGTATCTGCGGAGATAGAGTGATATGACCACCACTATCTGCTGAGATAGAGTGATATGACCACCACTATCTGTGGAGATAGAGTGATTTGACCACCACTATCTGTGGAGATAGAGTGATATGACCACCACTATCTGCTGAGATAGAGTGATATGATCACCACTATCTGCTGAGATAGAGTGATATGACCACCACTATCTGCTGAGATAGAGTGATATGACCACCACTATTTGTGGAGATAGAGTGATATGACCACCACTATCTGTGGAGATAGAGTGATATGACCACCACTATCTGCTGAGATAAAGTGATATGATCACCAGTATCTGTGGAGATAGAGTGATATGACCACCACTATCTGCTGAGATAGAGTGATATGACCACCACTATCTGTGGAGATAGAGTAATATGACTACCACTATCTGTGGAGATAAAGTGATATGATCACCAGTATCTGTGGAGATAGAGTGATATGACCACTACTATCTGCTGAGATAAGAGTGATATGACCACCACTATCTGTGGAGATAGAGTAATATGACTACCACTATCTGTGGAGATAGAGTGATATGATCACCAGTATCTGTGGAGATAGAGTGATATGACCACCACTATCTGCTGAGATAGAGTGATATGACCACCAGTATCTGCTGAGATAGAGTGATATGACCACCACTATCTGTGGAAATAGAGTGATATGATCACCAGTATCTGTGGAGATAGAGTGATATGACCACCACTATCTGCTGAGATAGAGTGATATGACCACCAGTATCTGCGGAGATACAGTGATATGACTACCTCTATTTGCTCCAGACCAGGCACTAGAAGGATAATGAGATATGCATTGGATTATCAACATGGCACTTAGGACACACCTTGCAGCACTCAGATTCTACCTCAACAAAAACATCATTGTCCTACAGCTAATCCTGCCAGTTCTGTGCTGGATGACAAGACCTCTCACAGTATCATATTGGAACAATCCATTCTTTGGATCTGTTATGAGAAGGGGAAAATCAGAGCATTCACAGTAGTGAAGGAGTAGTGGAAGAGAAGCAGGGTTAGACCAAGAAAGACGATATTAAAAAAGTAACACGATGACACGAAAGAACATATATCATCACCATCATGTAGCCAATCTTTTGCAGAACATCGCCGTCTGCCCGAAAGAAACGTATGCACTTTCCTACACAAGGTGTCACATATCATGTGCCAATCTTTCTGTTGGTCAGCCCCTGTGCCTTGTTCCTGGTACTACACTTTCAGCTATTTTTTTAATAATTCACTTGGGTGCTTAAGATGGGCAAAAAAAGAGCATAATCATCAGAAAATCTGACAGCACAAAGGCAAAAGGCTGTAGACACAGACGATGACCCACACCACACGGTATATAACAGTAATGACCAAACTGCCTTCATACCTCTGTAATGTCTTTAACAGCTTTTGTCTGCAGCAGTGGAATAAAGGCTTTGATATCTGCAATGTCCATATACCTCTTCTCCTTGAAGCAGACGTATGTGACAGCTCTGTACCCGTACACCTGACAGAAGGTCATCACTGACCACGGGAATGGGCACGTGTTAAATACATGAGAAATAATACTGTACATGGCATGTAAACAAAACAAAAAAAGTAAAGCAAATGACCTTCCTTTTATTTCACTCGTGCATCATAAACATGGTTTGTCTGCTGTTAGCAATTTTCCAAATTTCTAGATGACAATGTTATACTGTGCTTCCGTTGAGGCACTGACATCACAGCCCATGGCAATGAAGAGTGTGATTAGCAAGACCTGTGTTCGTTAAGAAATGTTTTTTCCACAACTAGGATCCCCCTGTATTTCGTGTATTTTTGTGGTATTGTGTTTTTTTGTATGTATGTATGTGTTCCATTGCTGCATTGTTAACTTTTTGTTTGTGTTCGTTACATTGTGAAGATTACTGATATACTTTTCATTCAGTTTTATATCTTTTCTTGTACCATATACATACATACACACACACATTTATATATACTAATTTGGATCCAGAAACTACCAGTTGTAAACCCTTTGGCTCGGTACTATGGATATCACAACCCTTCAGCCTTGATTCCATGACAGACAGTAAATCTGGAAAAAATGTGGCTTATCTGCCTACCCCCGAGCATGAATACACACACACACACATTTATCAATGAACAAGTGACAGCAAACAGATCAAGGATTAAGGCGTAGCAAGTAATTTGCAGATCACCGCCAACTATACTGTATTACTGACTCGGACCTAGCCCCTGACAACCACCCACTTCCAACATTTTGGCCCTTGAGTAAACTTTATTAATAAATTAAATAGATTTTTAAAAATGAACCTTACACTGTGCTGGCACTCCAGTGACCATGTTGGGCTGCTCTAAAATCTTGCATTTGGGAAATCCAGTAAAGCTTTCGGATTTCAGACATCTGAGGAATGGGGTTTCTAGGTCGGAAAAGGGGAGGTCACTACAATAGCCACTCATACCACTGCTGGTCAGAATGATGATGTCCGCTGATAATAAATCGAATCTGTCGATTAGCTGTAGATTATAAAAATATTGTGTAATAAGCGATTGTTTTAATATCTCTCTGTCTCTCTCTCTCACACACAACAGCCAGGGGCTGTTGGGGTTGGTTCTGCAATGTCCTGTAAAGGATACGCAACTGACCTAACCTCTCTTTCTCAATGCCATGTACCATCTGGAAAATTACCGCTCCAATTTGACTGATTAACCGACTCATTAACAAACACACAGACACAGCTGGTGTAATTTTATTGATTATTAAATTAACCCAGTGGTTACCGAGTAGCCAAGACCACTTGACCCCTTTAACAAAAAATTTTAAGGTCTGCCTTGGACCACGCTTATTTTTGAAGGCATGCTATACCTCTAAACAGCCACAGTGGAGAATTCATTATAATTTACAAATATCTTAAATGTTTAAAAAAATTAATTTGAAGTTAACATTTTTTCTGTGCTGTAGATGATACCAGCTTTCTTTCTTCTTTTTAAAGCATCACAGATAGGAGTTATAGGCAGGCAGTTTTCTCACTTTTGCTGTTTGCATAGCTTACATTCAATAGCAAACTGTTGTGTTTCTATAGTGCCTCTTTTACTCCCATAAACCAACTCTTTCTTGCTGAGCCTTTTGCCTTCGTCTGATGATCTCATGTAGCGGCCAGCTGATTTGGTTCCATTCTGACCAGATAACCAGACTATAATACCATGGACCTCTTAAATCTGTTTCACAGATCCCCAGAGTCTGCTTCTCTGGTTAGTTAGTTATTTAGGGCCCCAACATCACTACAGAGGGGTCGCCCCATAACTGCTCCAATTATGTGCCAGTGGATACTACACAAAATTTCCTTCCCTGTCCCATTTGTAAAGTAGTGAAAAACTTGCCAGTCCCAGCAAAATCTTGAAGCTTACACATGCAAAAACATGAAGTGCACAGCACAGTGTCACAATCAGCAGCTAGGTGAGGAAACCAAAAGAGAAGAGGGACATCCAGCATGAGGTAGGCCAAGAATGAGATGGAAAGTAACAGTTCTTGGAGCACCAACCACCATGCCAGCAAGACTCTATACAGTAAACCTTACACAATCTTGGAGCACCAACCACCATGCCAGCAAGACTCTATACAGTAAACCTTACACAATCTTGGAGCACCAACCACCATGCCAGCAAGACTCTATATACAGTAAACCTTACACAATCTTGGAGCACCAACCACCATGCCAGCAAGACTCTATACAGTAAACCTTACACAATCTTGGAGCACCAACCACCATGCCAGCAGACTCTATACTAAACCTTATACGGTAAACCATTACACAATCTGGAGCACAACCATCCTTTACACATCTTAATAAACCTTACACAATCTTGGAGCCAACCACCATGCCAGCAAGACTTTATACAGTAAACCTTACACAATCTTGGAGCACCAACCACCATGCCAGCAAGACTCTATACAGTAAACCTTACACAATCTTGGAGCACCAACCACCATGCCAGCAAGACTCTATACAGTAAACCTTACACAATCTTGGAGCACCAACCACCATGCCAGCAAGACACCTATACAGTAAACCTTACACAATCTTGGAGCACCAACCACCATGCCAGCAAGACTCTATACAGTAAACCTTACACAATCTTGGAGCACCAACCACCATGCCAGCAAGACTCTATACAGTAAACCTTACACAATCTTGGAGCACCAACCACCATGCCAGCAAGACTCTATACAGTAAACCTTACACAATCTTGGAGCACCAACCACCATGCCAGCAAGACTCTATACAGTAAACCTTACACAATCTTGGAGCACCAACCACCATGCCAGCAAGACTCTATACAGTAAACCTTACACAATCTCGGGAGCACCAACCACCATGCCAGCAAGACTATATGCAGTAAACCTTACACAATCTTGGAGCACCAACCACCATGCCAGCAAGACTCTATACAGTAAACCTTACACAATCTTGGAGCACCAACCACCATGCCAGCAAGACTCTACAGTAAACCTTACACAATCTTGGAGCACCAACCACCATGCCAGCAAGACTCTATACAGTAAACCTTACACAATCTTGGAGCACCAACCACCATGCCAGCAAGACTCTATACAGTAAACCTTACACAATCTTGGAGCACCAACCACCATGCCAGCAAGACTCTATACAGTAAACCTTACACAATCTTGGAGCACCAACCACCATGCCAGCAAGACCACCATATACAGTAAACCTTACACAATCTTGGAGCACAACCACCATGCCAGCAAGACTCTATACAGTAAACCTTACACAATCTTGGAGCACCAACCACCATGCCAGCAAGACTCTATACAGTAAACCTTACACAATCTTGGAGCACCAACCACCATGCCAGCAAGACTGTACAGTAAACCTTACACAATCTTGGAGCACCAACCACCATGCCAGCAAGACTATACAGTAACAGTAAAACCTTACCTTACCACAGCAAATACAGTAAACCTTACACAATCTTGGAGCACTAACCACCATGCCAGCAAGACTCTATACAAGTAAACCTTACACAATCTTGGAGCACCAACCACCATGCCAGCAAGACTCTATACAGTAAACCTTACACAATCTTGGAGCACCAACCACCATGCCAGCAAGACTCTATACAATAAACCTTACACAATCAACCACCATGCCAGAGACCATACTTACACAATCTTGGCCACCAACCACCATGCCAGCAAGACTCTATACAGTAAACCTTACACAATCTTGGAGCACCATGCCAGCAAGACGCACCATGCCAGCAAACCACCATGCCAGCAAGACTATACAGTAAACCTTACACAATCTTGGAGCACCAACCACCATGCCAGCAAGACTCTATACAGTAAACCTTACACAATCTTGGAGCACCAACCACACAACCATGCCAGCAAGACTCTATACAGTAAACCTTACACAATCTTGGAGCACCAACCACCATGCCAGCAAGACTCTATACAGTAAACCTTACACAATCTTGGAGCACCAACCACCATGCCAGCAAGACTCTATACAGTAAACCTTACACAATCTTGGAGCACCAACCACCATGCCAGCAAGACTCTATACAATAAACCTTACACAATCATCCTTACACAATCTTAATGCACCCACCACCATGCCAGCAAGACTTTATACAGTAAACCTTACACAATCTTGGAGCACCAACCACCATGCCAGCAAGACTCTATACAGTAAACCTTACACAATCTTGGAGCACCAACCAACATGCCAGCAAGACTCTATACAGTAAACCTTACACAATCTTGGAGCACCAACCACCATGCCAGCAAGACTAAACCTTACACAATCTTGGAGCACCAACCAACATGCCAGCAAGACTCTATACAGTAAACCTTACACAATCTTGGAGCACCAACCACCATGCCAGCAAGACTCTATACAGTAAACCTTACACAATCTTGGAGCACCAACCACCATGCCAGCAAGACTCTATACAGTAAACCTTACACAATCTTGGAGCACCAACCAGCATGCCCAAGACTCTATACACCTTACACAATCTTGGAGCCAGCAAGACTCTATACAGTAAACCTTACACAATCTTGGAGCACAACCAACCAACATGCCAGCAAGACTCTATACAGTAAACCTTACACAATCTTGGAGCACCAACCACCATGCCAGCAAGACTCTATACAGTAAACCTTACACAATCTTGGAGCACCAACCACCATGCCAGCAAGACTCTATACAGTAAACCTTACACAATCTTGGAGCACCAACCACCATGCCAGCAAGACTCTATACAGTAAACCTTACACAATCTTGGAGCACCAACCACCATGCCAGCAAGACTCTATACAGTAAACCTTACACAATCTCGGAGCACCAACCACCATGCCAGCAAGACTCTATACAGTAAACCTTACACAATCATCCTTACACAATCTTAATGCACCCACCACCATGCCAGCAAGACTTTATACAGAAAACCTTACACAATCTTGGAGCACCAACCAAATGCCAGCAAGACTCTATACAGTAAACCTTACACAATCTTGGAGCACCAACCACCATGCCAGCAAGACTCTATACAGTAAACCTTACACAATCTATGCCAGCACTCTATACAGTAAACCTTACACAATCTTGGAGCACCAACCACCATGCCAGCAAGACTCTATACAGTAAACCTTACACAATCTCGGAGCACCAACCACCATGCCAGCAAGACTGTACAGTAAACCTTACACAATCTCGGAGCACCAACCACCATGCCAGCAAGACTCTATACAGTAAACCTTACACAATCTTGGAGCACCAACCAACATGCCAGCAAGACTCTATACAGTAAACCTTACACAATCTTGGAGCACCAACCAACATGCCAGCAAGACTCTATACATTACACCTTACACAATCTTGGAGCACCAACCACCATGCCAGCAAGACTGTACAATAAACCTTACACAATCTCGGAGCACCAACCACCATGCCAGCAAGACTCTATACAGTAAACCTTACACAATCATCCTACACAATCTTAATGCACCCACCACCATGCCAGCAAGACTCATACAGAAAACCTTACACAATCTTGGAGCACCAACCACCATGCCAGAATGACTCTATACAGTAAACCTTACACAACCTTAGTGCACCAACCACCATGCCAGCGAGACTCTGCAGTAAACCTTACACAATCTTAAATGTGAAAACTGACTTACCAGTTTGACCCAAGCATAACTGTGTTCTGGCAAAATATCAACTTTACACTGGCACAAATAGACTGCAGGATTACTGCGACAACGGTTTATGCTGCACGTCTTATCGGTGGTAGAACTTTGTGATGACGTCACATCTTCTTTTGGGTTAGGAAGAATTTCCCCAACTGGTTCATAGCCAAAAGGTTTCAAATAAATATCTGAAAAAGCTGCGCAATGAGAAACATGGATTATTAGGATGCCAGCAATAAATATACTTTTTTTTTTTAAAGAAATGCATAGTTATCCGAAGGCGCTTTTTTATTAGTTTGCAAATTTAAAAAATTGTACTCTGATATGTGAAAAGCAGACTCAAAGGTTGTTTACAGTGTCCAGTGGACATGTGGGCGTGAATTGTGTGGATTTTTGTAATCGTTACAACGCAGTGGTCAGTTATGTTTTAGACCATATTTGTGAGCACAATTCACTGCCTTCTCAAATGAAACCCTATAAAAGGATAATGCTACTCCAAAACACTCAGTTTATTTACAAGCAGTCACGAATGGCACCTCTATCTATTAATCAATTTAAGGAATATTGCTATTGGCCGATCGCGGGCAGGAGAAAGTCAAATAAGGTTGCTAAGCATCCAAACACGCATCAGAGTACCATCAGTTGACTTTGGCAACGGTTGCAAGCCACTGGTTCAGATAAAGACCAACATCGCAGTGGACGACCCAGAGTGACAACAGCAGCCGAGAATCAGAATCGCTTTATTCAGGTTTCGTCTTCAAGTTTACAACAGCTACCTCAACTGCGCAGGCATCACATCCAGGACGTCATGTGTCTGATAAAACTGTTCGGAACGGACTGCATGATGTTGGACTCTGGGCGTGACGACAACACAGAGGACCTTTTCTTATGTGTCGCCACAGCCAAAATAGACTTCTTTGAGCCAACCAACATTGTCCCTGGGCAGGTGACAATCAGTGGATGCATGTCTGGTTCAGTGACGAATCTCTTTTTGCTGCAGTGTCATGATAGACGGCCTAGAGTCTACCGTAGACGAAATGGAGCTTTAGCCCAAAATTGTGTTGATGAAGCTCCGCTACACAGTGGTGGAGTGTAATGGTGTGGGGAATGATCAGTTACAATGGAAGGAGTCAACTGGTGCACACTGAAGAAAGCTTGAATGCACAATGATACGTCCATGAAATTCTTTGACATCATATCCTTCCATTTTGGGATGCCAACAAATATCTTTTTCAATTGGACAATGCCAGAACCCCATTTTGCATGGAAGAATCAAACTGCTGAGATAAAAACTAACAAATAACATGTGCTAATGCAAATTCATGTTATTAATCATCAAAGATTAAACACACATACCATTTGCCTCTACACTCAAAGCAAGGATAAAAACTGTACACGGTATTTTCCTGTCTTGCAATTTCTCGACCTCTACAGAGAAATTTTCAGTCCAACGAACAACAGGGTCTCTGAAAATTTATTTATAAAACAATTTTGTTTCAAATAATTAAACACTATTTACAAAACAGGGATGGATATGGTACTGTTGTTAGCTACAAGTATGCCTATACAGAAGTGTGTGGTTCTAGCCTCAGCAACAGCAAGATTTGAACAAAGAAGACACAAACAATAGACTGCACAATTTATTGCCTGGCATATTTCGCTGTACCTCGTCAGGTGCATACTACAGTAACAAGTGAATAAATGAAGCAAATAGCTGAATCCTAGAAACTGCAGTCTATTGTTTGTGTCTTCTTTGTTCAAATTCACATCGGGGAAACATTGCTTTGAACAGCAAGATTGTCTGTGTCCATTACTGATTTCGGATCAACATAAAATGGGAATGCACTGTGAAAATTAGGATATCTCTGAGTGTCCTTTGCTGTTAGTAAGGGTACAGCAGAGTACCGACTTACCATGGTAATTTAAAACAAACCTTCCCTGTGCGGGTCCAGGGGCTCCATTGTAGGGAAGTCAAGAACAGACCCACTGCCTTCCTAACAAGCATGTCGTTTAAACAAGTCGACCAAATAAAGGCTTCTTTCAAAGTCAGAGTGCATCTGCCTGAGAGGCAAGGAACCAACAGTCTGCATACAAATAAGTTAGATAGGTCAAATGGATGTGCATGCAACAGTCCAGTTCTGAAATAAGACTGACTTCCAGAGGTAAAAGAACAGTTTTATGCTGGAGTTTACAGCCTGTGATCATGAAGAAGAAAAAGAAAACAAATTTTTATCAATAAAATCAACAATCCCACTTTGTGTAAACAAAAAGAGCTCACAGTAAATTTGAAATGGGTAAGGTAGTAAACTATCTATCTTGATCTTTTGGCAATAAGATAAACAGAGCAACATAACAAAAGAAAACACAAACTTTTGTCTCTATAATGAAGGCTGTCAGCAGTGCACCTACTGCTGTCTTTAGGAACATCACGCATTAATGCCTCGATCTTTTCCATTGTGTGACTCTTTTACCACAGATAGTTTTCTTTATCCAAAAATCTAAGTTATTTTTATATAGTATAATAGTCTGTCATGAGTCTTTCGGTCCAACACTTTCAATTTCTACAAAATCTTAATTAGCTGCACTTTACAGCTGCTTGTTAACCGCCACTATGAGCGGCGAGGATGGGGGGGGGGGGGCTCAAATAGAAGGCTGGGACTCACGAGCAGCAGCTATCGCATCTCCAGCAACTTCCTCCAATTTATTTGCTCATGTGTCCCAGGCATCTAGTTTAGATCCCCATCCTAGTTTTGCCGCACTCTGCATAGGACTGCGGCCCTGTTAGTGTTAGGGTTTTTGTTTGGCCGCCATAATATCTTCGGAGGAGATGCTCCTCTTGTAAAATCCATATTTGCTTTGGAGTCCGCTACCCCAATAACTATGCTTTAAAAATTATGCTTTGCGATAATATATACAAACATTGTAGGAACAGCTGTCACGTCGTCTTCTTCTTCATCTTCATCTACAGCTCGAGAAGTGACCGGCAAAACTTCACCAAAGAAAGTCGCCATTTTTAAACAGGAAACAGCTGGGCAGACAACTCTAACTGCATCATCAATTTTCACTTTTTTTTTGTTAAAAAGGGGGGGGGGGGATTTACGATCCATTGCTTGGTGAGCAGATTATCTATTGTAATTCCTTGTCGACGTAGAAGCTCTTTAATGTCACCAATCCATATCTCTTAGGGCAGCTTCTTGCTTTCACTTCAGATCTTTGCATGTGTAGCGCCTGCGTTGGTAGTTGTTTCTCAACTAAATCGCCACACCATTTGATTTCTGTTTCTTAACGAATTTGCTGCATGGTGTTGTTCATACAGTCTGTCTGATAATTTCTAACTTTGTCTCAGATGGTTAAGTTGGCGGCTTTTCTCAGACATCTCATTTCGCAGGTGTTGATTTTACGTAGGTTCCATCATCCATCATGTAGCAGGTCCAGAAGCAGGCGCAGAACGTCGCTCTCATCACAGTCTGCCTGAAAGAAACTCGGTCTCTCGCCAGTTCTCCCGCCTCATATACTTTCATACTCAAGGAGTAACTTATATTCTGTGCCCATCTTCGTGTTGGTCGGCCCCGGTCCCTCCTTCCTGATACCATGCCTTCTACTATTTTTTTTTTTCAATCTGTCGTGGCGCTTGACATGACCAAAATATTTCAGCTTCCGAGACAAGATGCTGTTTATGAGCCAATCTTCCTTGATGTTCAGATCTTTCAAGATGTCAGTATTTCTCCTCTTCTTTGTCCAAGATATTCTGAGAATCTTTCTAAAGCATTTCAGTTCAAAAGCCCCTATTCTCTTCCTTGAGGACTGAGAGATAGTCCATGACTCACATCCGTAGGTTGCTACAGGGAAGATGCGTGCTCTCAAAATTTTAATTTTGATCACCTTGCTGATGCTTAACCATAGACTTTTTAGGCTGTTTAATCTTTGCATTGCTATGGTCATCCTCCTTTTAATTTCTGTCCAACAGTCTCCATTGCTTTTAAGGCCGTCGTCGCAACTACCCTTACTTGCTATGCCATCGTTCGCTTCCCCAGTTTGTGTTTGTAATCTGCCTGGCCTAGGAGCCTGACTATCAGATCTTTGAATTTCATTTTTGGCTTCCATGATAAGTTTCTTGGGATAGTAATGTTGTAGTTTCTCGTTGCTTTCCACATCCACATGGCTTTAGACTACGTCCTCAGCCTTCAGCAACCTTTTGGATCGCAGGGGCAAGTGAATGCCCTGCTCTGTGATGCTCCTGCTAACAGCAGAGGGCACCCCAGAGGTGTCCACTTATCCTGGCGGATACTCGGTCCCCATAGCTGCGTTGGCCACACCGCAGTGTGTTTACTATCCTCTACCGCGTAGGTTATGTAGGTTAGCCTTTGATAATGTCTAAGTCTGGTACTGATAGCACAGTGTTGGTAAGAATATGATGTTTGTAGTCTGTTTCTTAGTGCTCATGCTTATGCTTGTGTGTCCTAAACGGTTTCAGTTGGTGTATAAGTGCGCTGGCTCGCTGGTATCTTGTTTCTATTTCCCGATCTATCCCGTCCACGGCGAATATACTTCATAGATATTTACATTCTTTAACTTACTTCAGACAAGTACCATTCAATCCGATACGTAACTGACTGGGAATTCTGCTACATTACTATAACTTTATTTTCATGTTACATCTTTTGCATGTTGAACTTAGCCTGTTTAAACGTTCTTGCAGTCTACTCCATTCGTTGTAAAACAAACTTTGACCTTCTGCAAATAGTAGTTCATTTATTGTGTGTGGATCCAATTCTTCCTCTTGAAAGTAAAGTTTCTCATCTTCTGGATGTTACGGGTTAACTGTTTTAAAGCTAGCTGCTTTTGATATTATGTATACGTATATAATAAATAAGAGAGGAGAGGGGCACAAACCCATACCTCACCAAGGTTGCCATATCAACATTTAGAAAATCTGCTAAACACTGGCTAGATAATGCCACAAAAATGCCAAGAGGAAACAGATAAATTCATACTCATAATTAAAGTGTTAGATTAAAGTCATCACTCTGGTTAACAACTGAAACCATCACCACACACGTTGTCAGCAGACAAGTTCTTTAACATAGTAGGGAATGCAGTAAAGTTATTGCAACTAAGCAGCTGTACTAGTTTTCTCACCCAAGAAGATGCAGCAGAGTTCTAGTTGTATCTTTTGTTTTGACTGCTAATGCAAGATAGAACACCCTCTCAATAACAGCATCACTAACTTGAATTATTAAACAAAACAGAGCAAAGACTGCGAACTCTTTACTTCAAATGCCATGTGCAGAAAAACACAATTCCTAAGCTGTTCTGTCGGTCACTACTTTGTGCTTCCGCCACCTCGGACTTTTTCCACGGTATTCCAAACTCCAACCATTAGCACCGCTTCAATCCTTGTCTGAAAACATTCTTATAAGCCACACTCTGGACTGTCTCGGACTTTACATATGCTTGGGTAAGTTAATTATAGTTTATAGTCTGTCGTGAAATGATAGCCATTACGCATCTGTCTGTAAGGCTGATAACCTGTCTTACCTGTAATCTGCACAAAATTCAAACTTGGACTCGCCCAGAAATATATCGTCCCTTATATCTAGATATATAGGTCTTTATTGGACAACATTATTATGTCTACACTTTCTGGTTGCTTTAACTAAACTCCATTTTTAAATGTATATCTCTTGGAGATATATTAAGGGAGTTATTTGAGGTTTCGTGGAAACCGATTTACTCCTTGCCCATGTATACAAGGGACTTCTTTTGTTACCAACGCCTGAAGTGTCTAAGTGACGCGATTCTCTCTTGCCAGTCTCAAGCGTCCAGACGTGTCAATCTATGCCTGTATAATTTCAATTTCTCAAAGCAATCTGGACAGTCTCGGACTTTACATATGCTTGGGTAAGTTAATTATAGTTTACGAGTACCTAAAATGATGTCTGTAAAGTAGTCACTGCTGTAGAGAGATCTGTATCGGCTGTGTGATCACACTTAGTTCGACCGTTC